TCGCTCGCACGGCGTTCCCGACGAGTATACCATCATCGCGGCAACCGATTCAGTGCGCTACTGACGACAGCGCGGGATGAGTGTTCAGTGATGATAGGCGAGAGATCTGTGCTCGGAGCTTTTAGTGAGGCTTCCGCGTTGCATTCGACGCGAATGAAATCGCGAAGCCGTGGCAGTCCGCCGATTAATGTCTTCGTGTGGCTTCGATGAATTCAATTTTAATCCCATGCTCGGACAAAGATTGATCACGCTCATTGAAAGTAATCCCGTATCATTTTTCATGATTCTTTTTTTACATAAACTTGGATAGTAACCATCTGAGCATGCTATGTATAATGCTTCGTAAAACTCGCGGAATTAATTAAGAATAAATTTATATTCGTATCTTGGATGAAATAATGTTTTTACTTTTCTTTTCTTCTCGCTTACTTTATGTGCTCACTCAATTTAGTTTCCATTTTAAATCCGTCAAAAAATTTCTCTCTTTTGGATACAAATATAAACCGGTGTTTACAATAATATTTTTCAATTCTTAAAGTCTTAAAATCTTTATCTTTTTGGATTTTAATATCTTTACGTATTTGAGAAAAAAATTGTTTTTAGAAAAGATAAAATAGAAGTAGAAAAGACAAACTAAATGATAAGACTAGCTTTTTCCAACTGATTTGGACAAACGCCATCGAGGAGGAAACCCTGAATATACACAGAGATCTTAATGTACGAGTGTGAAAAGACGCCGGAAAGAAGTTAGGAAACGGGAAGAATGTACCAATATGGTACCGTACTCGTCGCGCAACGCGGATCGTATATGGCATTTCAAAGTCGACGGGGCGTCGCGAGATATCCCCTTATACAGCGCGAGGAAGGTGCGAAGGAACACCCTGCGACTCGACGTGAATGGCGAACCCCCATGCCGGGAGCTGCCTGTAACTATACTTCGACTGATCGTTGCAAATTGAGCGATTACGAGAACCAGATAAATCTGGATGAGAGCTCGCGGTTTCCGCGTCGAAGCGGATCGGGTTCGTAGATCGTGGCAAAAAATACAATTCGATCTTGTATGACGGGAAATCTTGTTACTAGAATTTTTGTTGCGTTTCATATATTCTGGATCTTATAAAACATCTAAGTATTAATAGAAATCCAAGAATGTCTGTCGACTACCCCTCGATGCGTGTACCGGCTGCGCATATAACATTCTGAGAATTATCTTCAGTTAGTCATTCTCTTTCGTTCTAGATCGTAACCTATCGTATCTAATGACAGAGATAGGCAGAAAAATATAATCAATCAAGCGACGTCAAAAGACGTGTGGGTAAGAGTCGATTTGTTGATTCGCCGCGCGGACTTTATTAATAAAGATAATTGCGATATACCGCTGAATAGAGCAAAATGGCAGCCGATAGTGACCTACGTGGCGAAAAAAATGGATACAAGCAAAAATATCAGAAACGATAAGAGCGCAGGCAGGCTGGTAACGAAAGGGCGGGGGTAATCGAAACCTCCGCCACCAATCTGCGATAACCGCGTTCCTTTGTATTCACCACTGTCACGAGTGCGTAATCACTTTTTCACGCGATAAACTATTTGAACTGCGTAGAGACGAAACCGCGACAAATTGGCACGGTCGCGCGGCACGTATCGGACGGCAGCGATAACGGTTCCAGAAAAAAATGCACCCCCCTCCTTTAATTTTCATCATCGTAGGCGGAGAAACCGGACCGGAGAGCCGTATACGTCGTATATACGTTGCAAAAATACTCGATTACACAATACTACGGAATCGCGCAGCCCCGTTCGGTCTTCATCATCCGTCGACAAGAGTATTAACTTGCACAAAGAAAACCGCTATCTGCATAAAACACGACACGCATAAGACGAGCGATAATACCGTTCCTACGCTAATCGCCTGATGCGCAACTTTGTGCGGGTCTCATCCTATTATCGGTCACGACCGAATCGATAAATCAATTAATTCTCGTCGATGCTTGAGACGCGCAAATTGATACGCATTAGCCGTTTATTATCGCATTGCATATGCTTGATACTGAGGAATTGATGCGCACGCGGCTATTTATTATCATTAAGCGTAAATTCTTTCACAAAAATATGAAAATTAATCGTCAGGATTGCGTTTTATTTAAATTATGACAAAGTTTTAATCTTTCGTACCCTGAAATAATAAACAGAAAGCGATGATATTAAATATATTTCCGCGCCATCATTCTCGTGTCAACGTTGTCGAGATCTAGTTTAATCTCATATTCTCGCATTGTCACATGAACATATCTTCCTTTTTAGGACATATATTTTTCAAAATGTTGCCGCGCAAAATATTCTCAGCGTCAGACGATATCCGCGGAAGATATCGGAGGATATCCTCTCGGAGCATCTTTGTTTTCAGTCGAATATCCACACAGTAATCTCATTCTCGGGCGAATCCTCCCCCTGAGGATATTTTCATGGTGCATAAGAAAGCACACGTCGAGATATGTTTGTAGCGCTGCGAAATCGATTCGGCTCTCATAGCCGGATATGCGCAATATATGTTTCGATCGTATCGAACGTGACGCGCGCGGTGCGCGCGGGGAATATAACGCAACGTCGGACTGCCGACGTTGTCGTCGGCACTTCGAGATGACGGACCTCGAAGAGCCTCGTTAAACGCTGTCCCGCGATCGGAAGTGTGCGGCTCCTTTTTTTTTACGCGTCTCGTAAAACGCGCGGAGATGCGGAGAGTCGTCAGCGCGGCTGGGGCTTCCGTCCTGACGCGCGAGAGAGGAGAGAAAACCACACGGAGGCGGCGTGTTATCGGCTTCTCGGCAAGATAACCGCAAACGATTTCCCCGTAGCGATCGGTGTCTATCGTTCCACGAACGTTCCCCGCGCCTCGCATCCCTGCCGTATTTCCACCGACAGCGCAAACCACCGCGGTTCCCGCGGCCTCCTTTAATCACCCCGTTCGTCTTTCTCGGCGGTAAACGACGCCAGATGCTCCAACGTTATCTTCCACCGCGTCCGAGGAGCTTTCCACGATGATGACGCGTCGCCTTTACAGAAAAAAAATATATAATGTCCGCGCAGAATGTACCTTTAGTCATATTTGTACGTTTCGTGAAAAATAGGTAGAAAAAGTTTCTCGCCTAGAAGCGATACGTCATCGTCGTAATAAAAAAAAATTGATGCACACATCGAGAAAGATATTCCTTCGACTTGCATTTGTGGAATACTAGTATGGCTAAATGCATTAGAATTCCAAAGACATATATGTACTTTTCAATTGATTCAAAGATTTGAAGGATCGGAATTTCAGTAGCAACAAATTAAAGTAATAAATCGAAAACATAAAATAAATCAATGATAATAAACGACATAAAATAAATAAAGATAATAAACGACACCTTATTTATCGGTCAAACTGAAGTAGACTTCAATTTGCGACTGTCGATTATTTATCAAGATTATCGTGTCCAAGATTAAAAATTGATGAGCTATAAATGGGTGTATCTTATCATGAGAGATCAATTTTCATGATTCGCTTTAGTCCATTTAGGGGATAAATTACCTATTCTGTAGCGGGATATACAAATTAGAATCGAGTATCGGAATAAATCAGGGATGAATCCCAGACGACAGCGGTCTTCCGACATAGTCTGGATTCCGTGATCGTCGATCGATCGGGCACCAGATAATCTTCGGGAAGAATATTTTAAAATGGAAAGGTTCCCACACAAAAAAAGAAGAAAAAAGAGAGTGGGGGAGAGAGAGAAATCTCACTGGTATTTAGGATGGCACAAAGAGAAGGAAACGTTCGGAAACCTGACGCTCATCTTTCATCACGCGGTATCGTCTGTGCCAAGCACAATGTCAAGTGCTCAAATCTACGTCATTTTCGTGTTCAGAAACTGACACGAAATAACAGTAAGAGATCGAACGAAGGTGCATATCTACAGTAGAACTTTTTGTCCTTTTTTTTATTTATTCGTATCTTATTCGGTAGAACATTTTGTCCTTTTTTTTTTAATTATTCGTGTCTTTTTTGGAAGGTCTCTTATTTATGTGAGACTTTCGGTGCATGGATTCCAGACAAATGATTCAATGCCCGCTCTGGAAATACGTGTGATGCGCGCCGCGGAGTGATTAATACGACGAAAAGACGATCCAGCCGTTCGCTTGTCTGACGTAAGCTCGAAGCGATTCTTCCTCTATAAAATTAAAAACGGAGCAACCGACGCGCGAATACGTATCACGTTACATAATGTTAGAATTATTCACTGAAATGTCACGCGCGTAGGTAAGATTTTAGATTGACTGTTAATACCCAGACCTCTCATTATGCAGGGTAATTTTTATAATTTATGCGCGATTGAAACGTCTGCGGTCACTTAGGAAGATTATCGCTTCAGAGGAATACACGTGGAACAGGCTGTCAGGGTTCACGCATAATTCACAAAGGACATAAATTCACACGTGACGTCCGCGCAATAAACATGCGTTAAAATAATTATAAAGATCCTAGAAAAACATGCTCTTAAAGTGCATACTCGTGTCTCGCGGCCACGTGTCCTAACTCCTAACGTGAAAAGGACTAAATCCTTCGATATTTCGCGGTAAGTTTGCGCAAAGTATCGATATATCATTTCCAATTGTAAGGAATATAGGTACCAAACTCTACTTGATATTGTCGTAATCAATCCTGGAAACTATTCTACGAAAAGGATGTCCGGTCTAAAGGGTGAACATCGTCTCGGCGCGCGATGCGCGTGTTCTCACGATCGCGTTTCGCGTCGGGATGAAAGATTTATGTTGGTCCCGCGAGGGAGCAGCTTTCGCCTCTCGCGCAGCGCAACTCGCAAGGGGAACGCGCGCGCGGACGAGAGCGTTTCAGCGTTCTCCATTTTCATGCCGGCGAGGCAGGAGCGCGCGTGGAGATGGGTTTACACGAGGCTTCGGGGCCGCCCCGCTCGCTCCCGGCGGTGATTCGAGTTTATCACACTCACCTTGACTCCGAGGACGGTGTGGATGGCCTCTTCGACGCGCGCGAAGTTTCCCTTGCCGAGGGGCCCCAGCATCTGATACTTGCCGACGCGGATCAAGGTCTTCTTCGCGGGCCCAACGACGACGACGTCGCCGCCGCTGTTGCTACTGCCTCCTCTGCCGTTCTCTGCCGTCGCGTTCGTACGCGTCATGTCACGCACGTATAACGCCCGTTCGCGTCGCAATCGTCGAAAATTCCGCCACCTCGTTAAGGCACTCACGGATTCTCGATTTCGCGTGCGCGCAAACACCACGGTACACACGCGGCTTTATTGCTGCGCGAACCGAGTCCCCGCGAAATGGTACGAAATGATGCGGACGATACGCGGCTCGCGTGACTCGGACATTTTCACGGCTGTGTGCACGATTGCGAGATCTCGATTGCTGCGAGGAAAGCTGTCTTTTTCGTTCTCTCTTTCTCTCTCTCTTCTCTCTCTTTTTTTTATCGACTTCTGCCGACTCGTGAAACATTCGAATATGCGATCGCAACACGTTGATTGGATCTTGCCGTATAATTATTCTTTTTTTCAGTTGTATATACATACGAATCAAAACTTCTTAAAGAGAAAACCAAGAAATGAGACTTTTTAAATAAAAGAAATATAGCCGAATAAAATAAAAAATAAGTAAAAAAAAGTATCAGTATAATCACATATACTGTCACATATACATTTAAAAGTTCAGCGCTGTTTCGAAAATTAAAGTTAAATATCTATCTTTCGCTTTATTATCACAAAATGCATAATGACACACAGCGAAATTAATCGTACGCGTTTGATGTTACCATGCGATTTAAATTCTGTTCTCATTAGCGAACGCGAATCGACAAACACTTCGCATTTACATGCGCCATAAACATATTCGAATATCGTGCGCGGAAGCGCTGTCCCACTAATATTTGTACTTTCATCAGTTACAATTTGCGTGCAGCAATTAATTGCGTACATTTCAATGCGATAATAATTCCCACATAATGATGAGCGGTAGCAATGGAGCCTTGTATCATCTCGAAATAATTACAGGCTTGGCATAAGTCACATATTTAACTTTACCATGTTGTTCCCACTATTCAGGTCGACGCTGTTTATTCAGATTGAACTTCAAACATCCGATTAAATCGGTTTCAGTTTATATTCGATCTTTTTCTTTTTCTCTTATTTTAAGATGATCCCGGAATGATGATGCATCGGGATCATGCAGTTCACGTATTTCCGTCGCGGTACGCATACAGACGATCTTGCGGCGGAGATATGGTAATTACGCAAAATCGAAATCTCTCGTCGCGGTCGCCTATCGCCGGGAGACGCTAATTGCACATGCTAGCGCAGCGAGGTCAGCAGGAAGTCACTATCTAAGGCAGGACTCGGATATCTCCCGCGCTCTTTATGACAAAACAGCTGTTCTCGGTTGAGTCAGAGCCGCGGCCTTGACGGAACCGTACTAGAAGATTAGCCGTGAGCTCCGTCATTAGTCCGCGAAACGTACCTATACGCGCGACCGCCAAGTACGGCGCGAGAAATTCCAAACATCTCGAAATTTATCGCGTTTTCCCACGATCCCCACCTCTTCGACTCGGCTTTCCTGTCCGTGACGTATTTTGCGACCTGTTTACGCGACATTTAATCGCCTTAATCATCGCGAGCCAAGCGTATTCGACATCCGCTCGCGAGATTTTGCAATCGGACGCACTAACTGATAAAGTTAATTGCGTGATATAGCGGTAAGCAAAATTCCGATAGGAAAGATAGATGGAGAGAGGAAAAGAGATGAGGAAGGCTTAATAACATTGATTATGCTTTACAACTTAAAGATATTTTAAGTGCATCTCCTACATATTTTTTGAACGAAAAATGGAATTGGAATATATGTATAATTAAAAAACGAAATAATGAAATTTATGGAATATAATATGCAAGGAAGAGAGAAAACTTTACTGCAAAGATACAATTTAAATAGTCTAGTGAAAGTATAAATGTATGTATGTAAATTGCACGAATAATTAATAGTAGATGATTGTCGAAATTATTTCATAAGTTGAATTGAATAAGAAAAAGCTAGCTATGTTATCATAAAATTTCGAAGGAGGGAGCAAGATAAATAGAAAGAGAGCCTTCTGCGCGAGATAATCTCGATCGTTATTTGATCGCGGACGTTTATGCGATTCGCGACGTTGCAACGCGATCCGAGTCTGGCTCGCCCGCATATTCGCTGTGTCACACGACCACGGTTGACCCACTCACCCGTCTTGGAAAGAGACCGATAATGCATGCACCGAGATATGTTTTGACAGGTCGCGATAATTCCCGATGCCGCCTGGACAATGCTAGGTTTGTGCTCCCGACAGCGCGAACGGTATCGCAGATGTTAAACTATATTTAAGAGCGCGGATTTAAGAGTCTCTTATCGACTTGAAAACAAATTGTTTTCTTAATCCGCGAATCTCTTGATAAGTGTCAATTATGAAACGGCATGTACTGGTAATAGAATGTGATAGAGCTCGTTTCTCTTTCGCTCCTTCGCCTTCGGCGCGAGCGATTAAAAATTCAGTACAAAATTTTACTAAATATGAATTAGTATACATGTACATGTTGTAATATATGTATAATGGAAATTTTAGAAACATATTATGATATTATATTATGTATTATATAATATATGTCATATATAGAAATAATAAATATAAATTTAAATTCTCACACACTTTGATGTCTGTAAGACTATAAATATCTCGACTTTAATTTTAAGTATTGATTGTCTATCAATGGAAAAAAACAGCGGTCACCCTGCCGTTTTTTTCCAACAAGTACAAGCAAGGTATAATAATTTTAATAATTACGGTACTAACAAAAAGAAGAAAAAAATTTTTTATACGATACTAACAAGGTCATATTTAAGCATTCAATCAATTTTAATTCGAGCTTGATCCCTTGTCTATTTTCCTCGCCGGTTTATCTCACTATTTCTCCAAACACAACGTTCAAGTACAAGTGCAACCACTTGAAAGTTTCTTATCGATGAAGTAGCGTGTGCACGCGTCGTGTATCGCGAACGCAAAGAAAACAGCGGAGAGAAACGTAGAATCGGCAGGAAAAGACGCTGAGAGAGGGACCTGAAAACCCCGATAGCATGCGTAAACGTCGTAAGACAATAACGATCGAGATGATTCACGGGACGCGATAAAGACGACGTGCGTACCGTAATTGCGTCTTGCACTTTGGCCCTGCTCGCCACTCAGCACGTGGATGACGCGCAGCAATTTTCTCCGTTTTCGTTAAACGTGCCTTCGGTATATTTGGACGAAATTGTATATCAAAGAAATATATGAAAAACATATAGAGAAGTACAATTTTATATTATGCATCTCTATCTCTATATATTAGAGAGATTAAAGTTTAAAGATAACAAATGACAAATAGTATTAATTAGAAAAAAAAATTTTATAAAAATATACATAAATTAATCATAGAAATGATAATTTCACATAAAAATAATCTAAACAATGTATCTGGATAGTGTTTCATGTGATATTCCAAAACAGTTTAATAAAACCATATAAAAATGAAATAACCAATAATTTTTTGTAAAGTTTTTTATAAAGTTGAATGATGGATATATTTTGTATTCTACATCCTTTTTTCGCTATATCATTTATATTCTTTTTTATTGCAACCGTAAAAAAAAACCGCCAGTGAAAAAGGGATTCGCTGCTACGATTGCGACGAAGCAGCCAGCGAACCGGCGGAGACACGAAAAAAAAAAATATGTGCACCAGTGGATAGATATCTCGGCGGTCTTATGCTAATGCATCTTATTGCGTAACGACAAGCGGCGATCGATAAGTGGCGATTTATTAGCCGCGAGACGTGTCCGGCGACACGCAGATGTTCGCCACGCTGATTCTGCTCTATCTTATTTTTCGTCGCTGTCACTCTCTCTCTTCCTCCGTTTATCTATCTTTATCTCGCCTTGTCGTTCCCGGATCTTCTCCCTGCAGCTTCCCTCGTATGTCCATCGCACGAAAGATTAAGCATAGTGCGTGCCACTTGCACACGCATATCCTCAAACATACATATGCACCGCGCAACACTATCGCGGCACGTGCTCGCGCGATTATCTATTATATTACTAATGTTGATAGTCCTGATAGGCCGGCTGAATTTTCGCTGAGAAATCGTCGCGAGATTCGAGGAAACGTTTTACCTTGACTGCTACCGCGGCAAACGTGACTCACCTGCGCGATAATGCTCAGAATAGTCAAATACGCGTAATCGGATACGTCTGATAGCGATGATGCCACTGAAACCGAAATCTTGTTGCGACGAGTTACGAAGTGGTACGATGAGTGAGAACTTAATTCTGGCTTCAAGGTTCCCGGCGATCTCCTAGAAATTAGGAAACTAATCCGCTATTCATTCTTTATCGTATTAAAATTGCAATACTTATTATTATTCATTATTCATTATTATTTATTATTATCAATTATGTAATATGTCAATAAAAACATTTCGAATTGTCATTATGGAGGCTTATAATGTTACATAAATTAATTTTGCGATGCAAAGTATTCTGTCGCATTATTTTCACTGTTTATTGAGAACTTCTCTTTTTCTCTATTTCTCTACCTTGAGTTTCAGTGCGAGCAAAGCACACGCACAGTCCGAGTAATGTATTATAAACGCATTTGCCAAGTGGCGAGTTGAGAGAGAAATTGATGCCGAACCGTTCTGCGTATTGTAATGCATCGCGACGGATAAGGCGGACGCGATTAAGTTGCACCGCGTATACTATACATTAAGCCACACGTGAAAAAGATAAAGGCGTGTTGAGATATAGCGGCGCAACGCGATGTTGCGTGTTATCAACAATGCGTCTTCGCCGCGGGATATGCGCGTCACGTAAAAATTTTCCGTCCTACCGAGACTATCGTCTCCGGGCAGGGAGAGGGAGAAAGGAAGGGTGAAAAAAAAAAACGAAAACAAAACGACCGTCGTTCGTCGTTAACGAAGTGTGTTTTTCGCGTACGCGAAATTAATTTATCGTGGCGCGCGATCGCCAGAGAGCGTCGTATTATCAGCGTATCAGACGGCCGGCCGGTCGCGCAATCGATGGTAACAGCTTTTAATTGACCCTCCTCGCCGCGACCGCCGCCGCC